CTTAGGTTACTGATTGAAGATGTTTTAAAATTAAAATAAAGCTTAACAGAAATTTATAATTTGGAGACAGAGACAGAAACCTATGTGAAATAGCTCTTCAATTTTGGGCAATGGGATGGGACATTCTTGGAATGTGGGTACCAGCTGGTAGCAAGGATGTTAGAGAAACATCTTTGATTTCACATTAAACATCACTGCATGTGAAACTTGCCCACTTACCTGGTTAGATAAGAGTTAAAATGTGTCTTAACATCCTTGATACAAAGAGCCATGAAGAAAGCTCTTTAACGCCACAACTATGTGTCATCCTTGTCTAGGAGCATAAATTTGCACAGCGGGCAGTGCAGTGAAAACAGCTCATAATCAACTCATCACCTCTCATCATTGCTGGGATCAAATGCAAATGGGAAAGACTGCCACTTCAGTCATTGCTAGTGAAAATTAGCATCTATGACACTAATGGTGTCTCATTTAGTATGCACTTTAGATGAAAAAGAATGGGAGGAAAAAATGCTATTTCAAAAACTGCCATTATTCGAATGTTTCTTTTAAAATGACAGTGTACTTGAATCTTTTTTGCTCAAAAAGAACAATACTCAGTTAAAATCATTAACACAGATCATTAATTCTGGCCAAAACAAGGCCAAGTTGTTCCAGTTACAATTACCAGATTTTCTCTGTAAGGTCTATTCTTTTATTTCAAAACTTTCTAGCATTTTCCAGAATACAACAATGTTCTACGTTTATGAAAAAATGAGTACCTCTTGGTGTCCATGCACAACATTTGGTATATTGGAATTATACTTAAAATAAGTCTTAAAAAAGAATTATAGTTGTATTGACACACATGCAAACTTTATTACATATATTCTAGCAATCTGTTAGTAAAACAATGAAAGTACAAGCACTAGTAAGATCACACAAGTAACCAAATTTATAGTAAAAATAATAAACTCAAAGGCAAAATTTATTTTAGACACATGTATTGGTGTCTTTCACATGGAAAATATTTTCTAGATACAAAAGGAAAATGATTGCTTTTACTTAATTCAACATTAGGGATTTTTCTACAGTTTGAATATCTGAATATTAAGAAAGTTGTTTGCATTCTTAGATGTCTTTACTGCATTAAATTGAAAAGCAGGAACTCTAAGTTACTTTCCAACTTAAAGACATTTTTAATGCAGTGTCTAATTTTAAAGACATTTTTAATGCAATGCAAAATAGTGTCTGGTGTCCTTACTGTCTACCTAAAACTTAAGACAGAAATAATGCTTACTTTCCCATTTTTTTCTATGATGACTGTGATGATCAAGAACAAGGGAGATGGAAGTCGACAACTATATGAGGGGACAACAAATACTTTGTGGAACATAGAATCCAAAGGTAGTTACAGGGTGTAAAAATTTTTAAATCCAGACAAAATTTTTTCATAGTTTTCATTTGCATGAATGTTTTGAAGTTTCATATGTCATGATTTTGAAAATTAACTCCTACAAAATAAGCTTACTTTAAAATTTCACTTTCCATAAACTTTTTGAAGGTTTCTAGTATGTCACTACCCAGTTTCTGTTTTCATTTTTAATAAGTGTGATAGCTAAGTTTAAGGAAAAAAATGAAGTATGAGTATGGCTGGCAAAACAGGCAGGTATCTCAGTGAAGAACTGAAAGCCCACGATGATGTCACGCTGGCGTTTCTGTAGATGTGGGTCTTATTTTTTTATCTGTATGTCTTAGTTCTAGGGAAGCAACCTTTCCTGTGACTTAGGAACGTCACTTACAAAGCAAAACAAGATAAATTATGTCAGAGTTGTTACAAATGATAATTTAGTTTTTATACAAAGATCTGATTGTGGGTATTTGGCATTATGCTTAAAATTCCTGATTCCCATTTTGGGTTTCCTAATCTTCAATTCCCGACTCTGGCTGGGGATGTCAGTTTCCTAAAAGTGCAGACCCTGGAAGGTAACATGGGATAGTTAAAGTATTTGTGTCTCGTCACCAATGTGGGAAATCTATACTGAGGTTCCATACAGAATCCTAAGTGGAGGTTCATGACTTTGGCTATGCCCATCCTGGCCTTTACTTGGGGAGTGACCCAATAGATGGGAGTGCTTCATTTTTCTCCTTCTCCCATTTGCTCTCCTAAATTAAATAATTATTTAAAGAGCTCTATTTACTGAAAATGGTACATAATAGAAGAAAACAGAATATGAAAATACAATGGATGAAGAAAATTGCAATATTCTGTAATTTAAGCAGTTACAAGTGTCTTATCAAATGTGAGTCCAGGTATCTTAAAAGATTTAAAATTCACTATCAATAGAGAACATAACTAATAGAAGACAAAATATTCAAGAAGAAAAAGTAGGATACATTGCATGTATTCAGGAAAGCTATTTTTTTCTTAACTATCTTAAAAATAGATTACCTGATCAGTGTTAAACAAAGTTCCCTTCAATTCAGAGTTTACCTTGACACCATTTCTGAGACATATTAAAGTTATCACAGTATGATAACATTCCAGTACATGTCAGATGTTTCTTTAGTTAAAATTCTCTAGAAATTTTCCAGGTTACTTTATAGACTGCTTTGGTTTCATCTTCTCAGCCTACACTGTCTATGAATGCCTTCTAATAAATCCGAAGGCCACTGTGTTTTCTGAGAGCATTTCAAAGAGAAGACTGTATAGTAAAAATAGAGACACAGATAATTAGAGGATGGAAACAGAACTTGAATATTCTTGAAAAAGTTGCAGATGATAAAAGTTTATGTTAATATCTTTTGATTTAGTTTATTCACAGGTAATTTATTGATAATTCTTTCAAATGTAATTATTTCCAAATAAATTATTATGGACCTGAAACTCAGGTGTCAATTACTGAATATTATACTAATGAATGCTTTAAATTTCTCAAACTTCAGGATATACTTGAAAAAACTAGTAACAATGTCTTGCATTTATTTTCTTTTTAAATGATGAATTCCACTGGTTATAAGTCAGGCAATATGAGGATTTGAATGCAGGATTTTTGAATGAGTGCTAGGTCACCCGAAACAGAACCATGGAACATCTGAACTGGATACTTAGACAATATTTCCCTTAGTTTTAACGTTATAACTTTAAACATTTTTGGGGGCACTTACAATTTCAAAAAAATCAAGCAGACCCTCTCAGGAAATTTTTACAATAGAGAATAAAAGATACCTCCTTCCAAATCAGAGACGTCAAATATTATTTAGTATACCAGTAATCAACTAGCCATTAGGTTCCTAGATTTCTGCATGATCCTGTTGTCTGTTTATAGACGTAAGTCCTACGTTTCCTTGAGATGTTGGAGGGCTCCCACTACTCATTCTGTTGCCATTTTTGTAATCTTCATTGTACGTCATCTCTGTCATACCTGCTGGTTCCCATTCTCTATTCATTCATTATTCCATAAAAGTTACTGAGCAAATAAATTTAAAATCAGAGGAAAGACAGTTGTTTCTAATATACAATACAGTAATTAGGGAAATATTTTTTCCATTTTAAAAGAAAATGAGCCGGTTGAAAACTGTATTAAAAAAACCCTGTGTACACATATTCATGCATTTGTCTAAATTCAAAAAAAATAAAGAATAAAATAGAAATTTATGAAAACAAAGATGAATCTGGTTTTGGTGTGTTTTCTGTGATATATTTTGTTTCCAGGTGTGTATTTCACCAACTACCCCACCAATGTTGCTTGCTAATTTCATTTCATAAGCAAATTAGTCAAATAAATAATACTGTACATGTGTTACAATAACACATTTAAGTCAGATTATGATACAGTGAAAGGAGTGTTCCTAAAAGAGTTGGATCACGTAAATATAATCTCACTATGTAACAATTCCTCATTAGATTCTATAGTTTTACATTTTAAATATTTTGAGGAAAAACACCTCATGTTACGATTTTGTGATTTCTTCACAAGCTTCTCTTGTAACTTGTAATAATTTCTACTGTTAAACTCTTGTAACTTATGATAATTTGTTGTTTTAATTCAAATAAGTACAGTCAATCTTAAATAGAAGCAAAAGTGCCTTTTGTATTCTGAAAAGTGTTATCTTGGATTTTATTGTAATATCAAAAAAATGTAGGAATTATGTATTACCAGCTGCATTTTTAACCAAAGATACTTGCCAACTTAATCAGCTCTTTATCAGAAAAGATCAATATATTACATTTATGTTGCTTTCCAAACATAAGAAATTGTTTAATTTTCATTTATTTCAGATAAGTATCATGAAATCTACCAAACATTTAAAAAATATTGGTAATTGTTCAGTGCCACATTAATTCGGAGGATCATAATCAATTCGTAGTATTTCATAAAGAATTTCTCTTCTGTGTCTAGTAAATCTAATTGGGAGATCTACAGCAGAATCTATACTTTGTTGTGTCATAATCTACTTTTCTAAAACAATGAATATCATAGAGACAATGGACTACTGTTCTACATGTTACTTATTTGAAAGATTTACTAGTTTACAGTGTTTTGATGCTCCTCAAAACACAATCCGATCTTTCTTTAATATGATTACTTTGAGAGAAAAATTACAGAATGATTCATTCCTCTCCCAAGGCATATTAAGAATTAGAAATGCATATGTTTAACTAAATATTTCCATTTAACAACCTCCTTATAATTAAATGTATCACAAAAAACTAAACTCTTCAGAAGTGAAATTCATACAGTTAGACCAACACGAACAACCTCATAACCCTTAAGATTACACAGGATTTCATAATATTGTTTTCTCACAAATCACCAAATAGATACCCAGAAAGTTGATCATCTGAACTCAGATTTCAAATGTAAATGATCAAGCACACGCTTTGAGACAAGATTACAGAGGATTATTGTCACATCTCACTTTACAATTTTATGTTTCCCATATATGCCGAGAGGCGTTTGTGTGTATTTTCTACTCAATGGCTTGATCTTACTTGACTCTGTACTGGATCACCTTACCTTTGGTTTTTGGTGCTTCTCCTTCTCTGAAACATTGGACGGTTTTCTCTTCAGCATTTTGAATTCAATCTGTTCCTACTGAGTGCACTTTCTGTTGTTCCAGAAACAACTGAAAACTGTCAGCAGTGGACCCTCTGTATGCACAGCATCAGATAAGTTTGAGATTGGTGACCTGCCACTTCCTCCTTCAGTCAGGATATGACTTCAACATCGCTACGGGTAAAGTTTTTTTGGTATGTGTTTTTTTCTTACTGTAATTCTGTGGTAATGTTGCTCTGTCCCTGCTCTACATTCTGAGATAGGTTTCCAATTGTCGTAGTTAGACATGACTGCAGTCACCGTAAGAACCACAAAACTTCAAACTCGTTTTTCTAGCTCTCATTAAAATAATAGCTAATATAATTCTTTGAGTAGAGGGAAGAAAACGTCTGAAGCAATACCGGAAATAAAACATCAGACGGCTAGCTGTTGATCAGTTAAAAAGAGGAAAACACTCAAAGTAGTTAATTTGATATTTCTAAATAATTTTTTTAATGTACTTCATGTTAAAGAATATTAATCCTACTCAAAACATATATATACACACACATACATACATATATGTACACAAAATAGTAATGTATGGAAAAATTTTATTCTAAATATAAACAAGAATCTTGCTTCAAAAGTAAGTGAGTATGCTTATTATCACGTTAAACATTCTTTACTTTGCATGTTAGGGTATTGATTTAATAGAGGTCATTTAACAGAATTAGTAACTAGATTCTACAATTAACCAGATGTCTTTCTGCTACAAACTGTAATGTCATGTCCTGATAATTGCTGTTCCAGTGATGATTTCATTGACCAATAGTCCCTTTAAATGAAGAATCAGGAATGTCAGTTAAAAAGCCTGGGAAACAGTTAAAATGTCTTAGAAAGACAATCTTCATCAAACTCTAGGTTTCATTATAACCTCAAAACCAAGCTACCCAAAACTAAAACCAGAAGTTCGAGCTGTTCTATGAAATGGGGACTTACCAAAAAGAATGCTAGCAGACTATTTAAAATTAAGTTTCTATTCAAACAAGTTTAAGAAAATGCACCTGAGTTTTTGGCTATAAATCCCATGGGTTGAAAGACACAGGCCATGTTTTTACTCAGCAGCTTGTCTAGATGAGAAATAAACTTCTTCATTTCTCAGTCTTCCTTCACATTTCTAATCTATTCTTCCTGATATGAATCCAGCTGTTCAAATCTCACTAATTCATTTGACAAATAGTATATTGAATGACTATTATATGTACTAGTTGGCAATGACAAGTCAATTGATTGGCTTAAAAATACAGAAGTACAAAATACAAAAAATATTTTTTATTATAACAGATTGGAAGAAATACAGTCTTCAAGGTTATGGCAAATACATTTTTTGTATCAGATTTTAAAAAATTGTGCTTTAATGAATTATCAGACTGGTACTTTCAAAATACTGAGAAAGAGTTGCAATGGAAAACTTGGTTCATTCCTTAGCGATAAGCTTTCTTTCAGACTTTCTGTTTAGACTTGAGTAAAACAGTAGCCTCAGGACTGGCATGGTGGTACTAATGGCCTGAGAAAAGCAGCAGAATTTGGTTGAAGTGCTTTGGTCCCTGTCACCCTTGTGAGAGACCTGGAAGACGTTCCTATCTCCTGGCTTCAGTTGGCCTAACCCCAACCGTTTGTACTTTTTCTGGGAAGTGAACCAGTAGATGGGAGATCTGTCTCCCTTTCTATCTGTATGATTCTTTCAAATAAATAAATAGATATTTTAAAAAGGTATTCCTTTTTTAAAAATTATTATTATTATTAATTTAAATGGTAGTGAAAGATTGGGCTCCCTCCTACCAACTCATTCTACAAATGCCCCCAACAGTGTGATTTGCAGTGGGACCAATGGCAGGAGCCAGGAACACAACCCAGACCTCCCACACAGGTGGCAGGAACCCAGTGCCCTGAGCCACCACTGCTTTCTTCCCAAGGGTCTGCATCAATGGGAAGCTAGAGTTAGGAGCAAGAGCTAAGCACCACACCCAGGTACTCTAATAGCAGATTGTGTGCAGACTAACCAACATTGTAAGCACTAGGTTAATCACATTTTCAAAAAAAAAAAAATTCATTCCATCTCTTAAGAAACCGAAACAACCATATATCTCTAAACTGAAATATTTGTACTTTTTGTAGCTCCATTTTCTATCTGTGAATAAAACTTTAATTCAATCATGAATTTCAGTCGCGAAAACAGGAATGATTATGCTTAAACTTATTTCAAAAGGAACGGTTGTAGAGAATAAGAAAAAATAGAAACAGGCTATGTATTATGGGTCCTACATTTTAGTAATGCTGCATATCAAAAAGGAACAAAACAGATTTATGCATCCTAAACAAGGATAATATTTCAAATACCTATTTGTGATGTGATATTTTCCATGATTATATTTCTAAGATGACAGTTGAGGACAGAGACACACCAGTTGACAGTCTCTATTGTGGAATTGACTGCAGTTTTAAAACAGTGGTACATTCAAGCAATTTGTATAAAATCTAAGTTTCTTATCTCTAGGAATTTTATCATCATTAATGCTATAAGAAATATTTAAAATACATAGAATTTCCAATGTACCCTGAACTCAAGAAAAATGTTTTAGGGGATACAAAAAAATTGTGACATTTGAGATCCTAGTGGCACAATTTAATCTTGTTAACTCCTTCAGAAAGACGTATCAGGTAACAAGGTGGCATGTGTTGTTAACAGCCCTCCATCTGTTCACAGGACTCTATGTTTGCTGAAATATTTGGCAAATGAACCAAAATGATCCTACAAGTTAAAAGGTCATAGAACAGGAAGAGTGCCAGTATTGAGCTCACCTAACTACCAATCATGAATAAACCACCAAGCCACATGTTGCTTAAGACATGTTCTGAAACAAGGAAATTACAAAAGCCCAAAGACATAGTGCTCTTTGCGCATTACTTTAACAGCCCTATAAGCCAGGCAAGAAGAAACAAGGTTGGGACTTCGTGACATTCATATCCACCACTCTTTCTGCGTCATAAAAGTTGAGTAAAATCTTAAAGACATCGCAGCCAAATGGTGGAGATTGAGATATGTTTTATGGAAAGGTAAAGTGAGCCATAAAAGAAAGGGCTCAGCGACACAGCATATAGAAAAGAAGTTCACTAAGTTCATGGGAAAATCGAATCAAAAGTTAAGTTTACATGGGTGCCCCAATTTTTTGAAATCCATGTATATTTTTTTCATAATACTCATTTTTGTGACTTTTTAAACACCCTCCTATCATAGAATTTTTAAATGCACAAAACAATTTTATGATTATATTATCGACAAAGTTTTTCAAATTCCTAGGTATTGATGCAGTGAATTCCAAAAACCTAAATTATCAAATTAAAATCAAAATGCTCAGAAAAGTAGAATGATGGTGAATTTTGTCTTGTGCCCTTAATTCTGAAACATTTATCTCACTCATGCCTGAGGACCATCATCTACAACTCCACATTCTGTTATCAACTTGAAGAAAAAATTGTAGTGTAATGTTCTATTCAATTATTTTCTGCATTTTAATTTATGGCACTTATATATTTTAGTGGATCAAGGATGTTAAAGCAAGCTTTTAAAAACAGGACAGGGTTCTCTGCCCTTGATTCGATGGTTCCACCTCTGGCACGTGGACTTAGTTACAATAAAGTTATTCCTCCATATATTGCTGGGACAACCAGTATTAAGAATTGTTTCAGTAACTCCAACCTAAAAATTCTCCTGACCATTCTCAAAGGAACTGCTATAGAAACTAAACATAGGGATGACTTCCAAAAACTTGAAAATAAGGTATTACGATTGCCGTGGTGGAGTCCAGCTGTGACTTGGCTGTTATTGTTAAGATTGAATAGTCTTCTGCAGAGTCGGTAAAGGAATCATTTGTAAAGCCTAATTTACCATGATAGTTTTACTCTTCCTTAAGGCCCCCCATAACTGGCTTCTCTCTGTAGTGTGGGGAAGGGAAATTTATAGAAAGAAGCTCAGTAAAATGCTGGGCCTATTGATAGATTTGTGGAAGCAGAAATCCGCTATTTTATTGCACAAATGCTCTGTACACATACTCAGGATGTCCTGAAGCAGATGGATGGACACATGGGCTACTGGTAACCTTCTATTCAGTTCCATTTTCAGTAATTTGGATGATGATTTTAAAGTCACATGGGGAGACAGCACTATAAACAACTCTATATACCTTGTTTATTTTTCTCTGTTTAATGCACCTTATTTTTGGTTGGGAAATTTACGGAAGAATGGTAGCGAAGACATTCTCTCATACTTACTGCAGGAGGATCGGTTATATTTTCTAGCTCAGAAGTCGTGTTGTCTTGAGCATCCCTGTTCACTGATCCTTTTCTCCAAGGTACTCACCTACTTTCCCACCCCCAGAAGTCCCTTCTTACATCTTATTAATTGAAAATTTTTCATTCCCTTTCCTGATTTTCCTGGTGACCTGCTTTAGGGTATGATGTCCTCAGCTTTTGAAGAGAAAGTTGGAGGAAGAAAAGATTCTTGACTAGGAAGGCTACGGTAGTCATTTGAATCACAATTCATTCTTTCTTGCATTGATACAGAACACAAAGCAGTGTTCATTCAAGTTGGTGGATTGAAGAACCGGAGAAACTCAGTGCATGTTGACTAGCTGAAATCTCCTGACAAGAGAATCTGTTGGGTGGAGATTTTATGAGGATTTTATGGGCATTTCAGTCAAAGCTAAATTTATTGAATTCTCTCTCTCTCTTTTGGTTTTTAAGCTTGAGAAGTAAATACTGAACTATACATTTACAATTTGATACTAGATTTTCCACCACTGTCTATAAACATATATCATATATATATATGCCATTATACACTTAAATAGCAGAATGTTAAACTTGTAACTGTTACTAAGGGTCTACACTAATGTAATAATATGGCAGAAAATTGTAGTAGGGGAAATGGAGTGGGGGGAGGAGTGGGAGAGGGCAAAATCCTACACCTAGAAAACTGAGCCATGGAAAATAATAAAAAGATTAACAAAGACCTCCACCTGTCACATTACACAAAAATCAACTGTAAATGCATCAAAAACCTAAGTTTGCACTCAGAAACCATCAAACTATTA